GGTTAGCATAAGCTTCTTAAGGGCAGGTACCTTTTTTCATTTTTGTCTTCATATTCTCAATGCTTAGAACAGCATCTTGTGCATTGTTAGGAACTTAATAAGTGGTTGTTGAATTGAATTTAGTCTAACAAATCCCCACTCAGGTATCCATTCTGTAACATCCCTAACAATGGTCCATCCAACCTCCGCTTGGAGGCAGCAGAAAGTAGTGGAGAGAACACTGGACTTGGCATCAGGAAGGCCTGGGTTCAAATCTCACCTCAGACACTTACCAGCTGTGTGATTCTGGGCAAGTCGCCTACCTTCTTAGTGCCTCAGTTTCCTCATCTTTAAATGAGGAGGTTACGTTTACAGGCTGCTGAGATCCTTTCCAGCTCTAAATCTATGATCCTATGACCTCTGGTCACGAGGAACTCACTTCTTCCTGATACAGTTCTTTGTACTTTGGGACAGTTCTGCTCAACAGGAAGCTTTTCCTCATATCCAGCTGAAATCTCTGTCTATCTGCAACAGCCACCAACATTGCTTCTAGGTCTGCTCTCTTGCCAAACAAAACATTCATAATACCTCCTCAACTTGGGAGTCCTTTATACCCTTGAAAGCATCAGTCATGTTCCATGGAGAAATCTTCACTTCTCTAGGCTAAACACATCTGTTTCCTCCAAATCATCTTTGCATGGCCTGGTTTTAAATCCTCTTACCATCCTGGTCACCCCCTTCCAGAACTCAGCCTCCTTTCAACATCCAGGAACAGACTGAAGGGAAAAAGAAGGGAATATCCAGCAAGGCTGGGATCGCTACAGTCTTTTCAGGGTCCAAAGACAGTGTCCTTGTAGGCCTGTGGTCTGTCATTCTGTTATCTGAGAATTTCCATTCAGCTCAACAAAGACGCGTTAGTCATTTTCTGCGTTCAGGATGCTGTGGTCAGAGATGAACATACAAAGATAAAAAATGAAATAATCCCTGCCTTTAAAGATCATGCAGTCTAAGAGGGGGTTAGGACAATATGAGGAAGACCATAGATAGGCTAGAAGGAGAGGTTCAGTTAAAGGGCTATGAGGAATTTGAGGAAGAAGAAATCATTTCACCTGGATTGGGAGAGAGGGAAGGAATTCAGGAAAGTCTTCATGGAGGAGCTGTGCTTTGAAAAAAGAAAATGATTCCAATAGTTAGAGAGTTGGTTCTAGGTATGGGGGAATGGCCTACTTAGGGGTGGGGAACCTGCGGCCTCAAGACCACATGTGGCTCTTTAGGTCCTCAAGTGCGGCCCTGTGACTGAATCCAAACTTCACTGAACAAATCTCCTTAATAATAATTATAATAATATAGATAATATATACATCATAATGATAATAACAAAAGGATTTGTTCTGTAAAACTTGGATTCAGTGAAAAGGCCTCACCCAAGGACCTAGAGGTCACATGTGGCCTCAAAGCCACAGGTTCCCCACCCCTGGGACTCTACATGAATGAATGGAGACAGGACAAGGAAGGATGTAGGATCATAAATTTAGGGCTGGAGGATCATCACTTTGGAGTTGGAAGAGACTTTATTGTTCATCTAATCCTATGCTGTCCGTTGTCCAGATGAGGTAACTGAGGCTAAGTGACTTGCCCAAGGTCCCACATCTCTGAGTGCTTTATCCACTGTGCCACACCTCTCAGGTGACCATAGAATCACTCCTGATTGGGTGGTTTGGCTGTATCAGAGAAATACTGTGAGGGAAGGCTGGCACTGTAAGGGAGTCAGGTTGTAAAGGGATATGAATGCCAAATGAAGGAGTTTATATTTTATCCTGTGCATTTTTAAAGGGTGGGCAGCTGGGAGGATAGTGAGTGGGGCCATCAAAAGACTTTGGGTAGTTGGGAGGAAAGGCCAGTTTGGTGGGGCAGATTAGTTCAGTTTTGAATGAATGGAGTTGGAGGAAGGCCAGGTGGAGCTAGCTATCACAGGCAGCTAGAAATATAGGACTGCATATTTACTATTAGGAGAGATTGGAGCTGGGTATATGGGTTTGACAGTCAGGGAGAAGGAGGCCAGAGAGAGTCCAGGTAGGAGTGAGATTAAGTATGACTGCAGTCCTTCCTAAAATGCTGATTTGGAGAGGGAATTCCCAGAGAACTGACTTTTTACTCCCAAGTAGTAAAACAAATGAACAAAACAACCTTAGAGAAAGCCTTTATAGGTGCTTAAAGGATTGTAGGGAAAGGGGAGAAACTGGGGCCTAGTTGGTGTTTAACTCCCAGGAGGAGCCTGCTTGCTCTGCCCTGCCTCTTACCCCACCACTGCTCCTGAGCCCCCTCTGGTTCCTGCTTCATGCCTCAATCTTCCTCATCCTGAGTTTGTAACATGAGTATGCATAATTGATGCCCTCCTGTTGCCCAAGCCAGCCCTTTGTTTAGAGAATATCGCTGAAAGCCCTTGAGGTAGTTCCATTAGTGAGGAATCCCTGATGGGCACCCCAGCAGTGTCTGAGCTTCTGTGTATCCTGCCCGGCAGGCGCTGACAGGATTAGAACACTCCTCAAAGGTTGAACGAAGGGAGGAGTGCCAGTTTCCTAAGGGGACTCCTGAATACCCAGATGGTCAGAAGTCCTGACAGCCATTAGTAGAGGAACCAACTCCCTTTATGACCTTAAGCAAGTCCTTTCACCTCTCTTGGTCTCACTTTCCTCATCTGTACAGTAGAGAGGTTAAACCAGATGACCTCTAGGGCCCCCTCCAGCTCTAACTCCTATGCACCTGTGTTCTTCTGCCCTCCAGAAGCAGTGTGACGTAGGATAAGGGGCCATGACTTTGGAGTCAGAGGACCCTGCTTCGAAGTTTGACTCTGTATGTGGCTCTCTAAAGTCCCATCTGGTTCCAAATCCAGAATCTTTAAAGTCTATTCCAATTCTGATATGCTGTGAGGTTAGGGAGTCTAAGGAGTGATCTCTGTTCTGACTGTTTCTCTGGACCAGATGGCCAGACACCAAACCACAGTTACCTTTCCTGACCCCCGTCCCTGACCTGGCAGGGAAGGGCCACTGATTCCTGTGTCTGCAGCCTACCTGGCCTAGTAGGACCTGGCTTCTGCTGGACTTGAGCTGATGTCCCTGGTTGGTACCTGGATGGTGGAGGTTGTGTGCTTTACCTGGAAGCTTCATAAATCTGTGGCCTTCACCAGCCCTAGAGCCCACATCTTCCTGAACCAGAACCAGGGCCAAGACTTGCCAAAGTGACCCAGGCAGAAGCTCCTCCATTCTGATTGCCTTTAGGTGCAAATAAGAGCCCTGAGGGGCACTGTGAGTCAGTGGTCCTGAGTTCATATTCTGTCTCATCACTTCTACCTTTGTGACTTGAGCAAGTTACTTGACCTCTCTGGCCTCAGTTTCCTCATCTGTAAAATAAAATTAAGTTAAAACTTAAAGTTAAATTAAGTTAAATAAAGTTAGACCCAAGGACACGGGAAGAAGAGAAGTACATCAATGGAATATTGAACCTAAGGGTCCTCACTCTGGGCCAAGCAGGAATGAGGCACCTTTTCTCTGCCATCAAAAGGGAAGCAACAAGATTTAAAGCCTCGAAGCTGAGAGACAGGAGGAAATAGCAGCCTGACAGATCTTTCTATTTCTGGCCACTCAGGGGAGATAAAAATAGCTCTTCTAGCCTGGCAGGAGCCCCTGATCTTTACTTGCAGCTCCTGCTCTCTCCCTGGGGCTGGGCTGTGGACTCTCTTGCCCTGAGGCTGGGCCCTGGGCCCTGGGCCCTGGGCTCAGGCTCCCGAGCTCTCTCTCTCTCTCTCTCTCTCTCTCTCTCTCTCTGGCTGGACTGAGGGTTCAGGGCTGGACTCTGACCGCTTTCACCCTGGAGCTGGGCTCAGAATTCTAGGCTGCAGGCCTTGGCTCTCTTACATAGGGCTTGGCTCTGGGGCTCTGGGTTGGGCTCTCATTCTAAGGCTGGAATCTGGACTTGAGGCTGGGCTCTGGACTCTGGGCTCCCTCTCACTTGACTCAGGGCTCGGGGATGGGTGTGTTCTCTCCCTGCTCCTGGTTAGGCTCTGAGCTTTGGGCTCTGGGCCTATTGCACTCCCCAGACCTAGCTCTCATGCTTGTGTTTAAGTTTCCTCCAGGGACATAAGGATTCACTTTATGCCACATGCTACCTGACCTGGGCCAGCCCCCCTACTCAAGTTCAAATATCCTAAAGCTTCCTATTATTTTTGAAGGCTGGAGTGGCAGAAACAGGGGACAGGAGCTGGATAAAGCCCAAGGAACTAATGTCTAAGACCTTGTAGGTAACAGGAGAGTGATGAATGGGTGTCCTTTGCTAGGAACAAGGCCTGTTTGGAAGCTGCTCCTTCCACGGAGAGGTGGGCAAACGGGGCACCCTGCTCAAGACAAGCATGCCCTGATCCTAAAGCCAGGCTGAGGCCCTGGTGCGCTCTGCTCAAGCCTCATTGCAAACTGCAATTGAAGGATTAAGACCAGGCCATAGAGGGATTGGTTGAAAGAGCTGGGACTATTTTGTTATTCAAGAAAGAAGATTGGGAGCGCTCAGAGGGTGAGCACTATTGGGAAAATGACTGTATTTGAGTATTTGAAGAGCTGTCATTTGGGAGAGAAGTTAGGTTTGTCCTGCTCATCCTCAGAGGGGCAGAACAAGGAGCAATGAGGAAAGCAGCAGAGGCAGCTCTCCGTTTGAGAGCAATCAGAGCTGCGCCGAAGGAGGATGGGCTGCTCCAAGAGATAATGGAGTCCCCCCCACTGGTGGTCTTTAAGTGGAGGCTAGAAGGAGAGGGAAGAGAATGTGCATTGATTAAGCTAAAGAAATCGTAATAATGGCTAGCATTTATATAGTGCCTACTGTGTGCCAGACCCTGTGCTAAATAAGAACTTTACGATTATGATCTGATTGTTGCTGTGAGGCCAGTGCTTTTATTATCCCTGTTTTACAGATGAAGAAACTGAGTCAGAGAGAGGTTAATTAATTCTGCCTTGTATTTGGTCCTTCTTTTGCAGAAAAATGAGTGGCTGTGTCTGAACTGCCAAACACAGAGGCTGCTGGAAGGAAGCCTTGGTGACCCGGCCCCCGTGCCCATGTCTACCCCGAAGCAGACACCAACAAGTTCGCCACGACACCAACCCGGCCCATCCCCTCAGAAACAGAAGGGGCCACCTGCACCAGGGCCAGGGCAGCCCACAGGACCCCCCCACACCTCTCCCAGCCTGCAGACCAAGCACCTCAGGGCATCCGAACCCAGCAAGCCTCCAAGAGGCCCGCAGGAGAAGAAACCCAGCGGCCCAGCAGAAGCCAAACAAGTGCCGAAGCCATCCCCTCTGCCAACCACGCTCACGGAGGCCCCGAAGACAAAGGATGGGCCCAAGAGGGCCGAGCCACCTCTCGTGGACAGCAAGGTCAGCTCTACCACTGAGGCACCGAGAGGGAGTGAGCACGAGGTCAGTTTGCTTCCTTCAGGCCCAAGATGGGGAGGGGTCCCAGAGTGAATCACAGGGAGTATCTGCACACCAGCCCTTTCCCCTGCCCCCTCTCCTCCAAGTTGGTGGCATAGACAACACAAGCTTATAGCTGGAGGGACCAGAGGGCTCAGAGAGCTGGAGAAACCATAGGATTTAGAGCTGGAAGGGGCCTTCCAGACATGCCTCCCAACCCCCTCACTTTATATGGGGAAACTGAGGCCCAGGGAGGGGAAGGACTTGCCTAAAATCAGACAGAACGTTAGTTGCAGAGCCCAGTTTAGAATTCAGGTCTCCCCACAAAAAGCGTGGGACTCTTTCTACCACAAAGTGCTCCCACCAAGGAGCAACAGTTCTCACTTTGCTTCTCCTCCGTAACAGCTTCTGTTTCCGTTGCAGGACCCAAGCAAGCCTTATTCCCAGGACCTGTCCCGGAGTCCCCAGAGCCTCAGTGATACTGGCTACTCCTCCGATGGGATCTCCAGCTCCCAAAGTGAGATCACAGGGCTCGTACAGCAGGAAGAGGAGCAGCTGAACACCGCCGGGGTGGTGAAGCCCAGCCCACCGAGCCCCTCCGAGCTCAACAAACTGGAAAGCAGCATGCGGCCCCTCCTGGAGGCCCAGGGTGGTGCCCCGGCGGAGCAGCCCAAGGCCCGCCCCCAGCTGCGGGAGGAACCGAAGCAGAGACAGAGGCCTCGATCCCTGTCCATCACGCCTGAGGCTTTTGACTCTGACGAGGAACTGGAAGACATCTTGGAGGAGGACGAAGATTCTCTCGAGTGGGAGACCCAGAGGGACGCGAGGGATACGGCCGAGTCGTCCGATGACTTTGGCAGCAAGCTCCGCCACGACTACGTGGAAGACAGCAGCGAGGGCGGGCTCTCTCCCCTCCCAACGCGGTCCACGGGCAGAGATGCCGAGGGTCCGGACGAAGACTTTATGAGGAGGCAGATTTTGGAGATGAGTGCCGAGGAGGACAACCTGGAGGAGGAGGAGGATGCCGAGTATGACCGTGCAAAGCACAGATCGAGGAAAGCCGGTTCCAAGCCAGGGTCGGAGCAAGGCCAGGAGCCCGCCCCACCCAAGAGGCGGCTGCCTCACAACGCCACCACGGGCTACGAGGAAGAGCTGAAGGACGTGGGTGCTCCTGAGCCCGAGGACGTGGCGGCCCTCCAGGGGGGCCTGCGCCGCTTCAAGACCATCGAGCTCAACAGCACCAGCAACTACGGTCGAGAGATGGAGATGAGCCAGGAGGCGGACGTCAGCCTGGACAGGGAGCCCGAGCTGGAGATGGAAAGCTTGACCGGGTCCCCCGAGGACCGCTCCCGAGGAGAGTATTCTTCCACGCTGCCCGCCACCACCCCCAGCTGCACCTCGGGCACCTCTCCCACGTCCCTGTCCTCCCTCGAAGAAGACAGCGACAGCAGCCCCAGCCGCCGCCAGAGACTGGAAGAGGTCAAGCAGCAGAGGAAAGCCCGGCACCGCTCCCCCGGCCCCCTGCTCCCCACCATCGAGGACTCCTCGGAGGAGGAGGAGCTCCGAGAGGAAGAGGAGCTGCTCCGGGAGCAGGAGAAGATGCGGGAGGCAGAACAGCAGCGCATCCGCAGCACGGCCCGGAAGACCAAGCGGGACAAAGAGGAGCTCAGGGCCCAGCGGAGGCGGGAGCGGTCCAAGACCCCCCCCAGCAACCTGTCCCCCATCGAGGACGCCTCGCCCACTGAGGAGCTGCGCCAGGCGGCCGAGATGGAGGAGCTCCACCGATCGTCCTGCTCCGAGTACTCCCCGTCACCCTCCCTCGACTCCGAGGCCGAGGGCTTCGAGACCGGCCCCTCCGAGCTCTACAAGTCTGGGAGCGAATGCGACCTGCCCACCTTCATGTCCCTCTACTCCCCAACCGAGAAGACTGCCAGCGGCACCAGCTACCCTCCCGGCAAGCCCTTGAAAAGCGCCGAGGAGGCCTACGAAGAGATGATGAAGAAGGCCGAGCTTCTCCAGAAGCAGCGAGGGCAGCAGGCCCAGTCCAGCAGCGCCTACGGCAGCTCCCGGGGCACGGACCGAGGCCAGGGCAGCTTGGAATACCAATACATTGAAGACTATGACTATGCGTCCGGTCAGCTGGGCTCCTCTCAGCACACCTACGAGCCTGAGGCTGCAGATGCGGGAGCCGTGTATGAGGAGATCCTCCAGACGTCCCAGAGCATCGCCAGGATGCACCAGGCCTCCTCCCGAGACCTGGCTTTCCAGGAGGAGAAGAAGGACCGAGAGGACGCTTACCGGGAGAAGCAGTTTCTGAATGCAGAGAGCGCTTACAGCGAGCTGATGAGGCAGAACGGTGGTCCCCTCACCCCCGGCACCAGCCCCACCCAGCTGGCAGCCCCCATGGCCTTCTCCTCAGACAGTGGTGGAAGCCGGCTTATCCCCGATGTGCGAGTCACCCAGCATTTTGCAAAAGAACCTCAGGATGCCCTCAAGCTTCTCAGCTCCCCGGCTTCTCCCGGCTCTGCTTTCAAGGGAGGGACAGCTCCTTTCACTTACAGCAAAGCGACCCCTTCGGTCACAACTGCAGCGTCTAGTACAGCCGGCAGACCGCGTGTTTCCACAGCCGGCCCAGAGCCTCCACTCCCCAGCACCGCAAGCTACGGCTCCCAGACTGAAGAGATGCCCCAGGCTCAGGTCTTCTCTGATACCGGTGGATTCCTTGCAAGAGAGAGGTTTCAGAGCGTGAGTGACGGCAAGATGGGTGCTCCTTTGTCATCGAAAGGCTATCCCGGCTTCAAGAATGCAAGCCCACCCCTCTCCCCAGCTTCTCCGATGGAGGGCCTTCCCTCTGCGATTGGCAGAATGGGGCCCAAGTCTACCGCAGAGTTCTCAACCCAGACCCACAGCCCACTTCTCCCCTCTGACGTCCCAAGGAGCCCTGTTTCCTCCACCCCATCCTCCATGGTCGCTCAGGGCACACAGACGCCACACCGCTCCGGCTCACCTCGCCTCACCAGGCAGCAGTCTTCTCAAGAATCTCCCTTTATGGTCATCACCTTAGCCTCAGATGCAGCCAGCCAAACCAAGCTGGTCAATGCAAGCTCTTCCACCTCACCAGCATCATCTCCGACCAGACACCAAGATACCATTCACAGCTACAGTCAGTCAGTACAGGTCAATGGAGCACAGTTCCAACAGGAACAGTCACTGCACAGCTTCCCCAAGGGTGAGAGAACCCCCACTTCGAGTGCCATTGTCCCCATGAATGCTGCCAAGGGGCATGTGACCCCGGTCATGGATGGCACAGCTGCTCTGTATGGCTGGGGCTCCCTGCCTGCTGAAAACATCTCCCTGTGCAGGATCTCATCAGTTCCTGGGACATCCCGGGTAGAACCAGGGCCCAAACCACCAACGAGCTCCGCGGTAGACCTACGGACCGCTATGAAATCCACCCCAATCATCATCACCGACCGAGGCGTGGACCTGACTTCCCTGGCTGCCGAGGCCAGGAAATACTGTCTTACGTTGGACCAATCTCCAGGACGGCAGTCCACCACAGTTCAACCTCTCATCATCAACCTCAATGCCCAGGAGCACACCCACACTTTCATTGGCACCTCCACCACTGTCAGCATCACTGTGGCTTCCTCCATGCTCGTGTCTCAGCCAAAGCAACCTGTGGTCTATGGGGACCCTTTCCAGAACCGACTGGACTTTGGACAAGGGACAGGAAGTCCCGTGTGTCTGACCCAGGTCAAACACGTGGAACAGGCTGTGCAGACTGGTCCTTACCAAGGAGGGCCCCGTGGAAAGCCCAAAGAACCTAGCAGTCCCCAGCAAACCAAATTCGCTCGGTATAACTTGCCCAACCAGATGGCACCTTTGGTTAAAAAAGATATTCTTGTCACTCAGATGAGCGCCACACAGAACGTTAGCATCAAGCCATACCCCGCAGAGCCGAGTTCCGATGCGTACCGGGGTGCACCTGCAGAGCTCAAAGCTCACAGTGTGCCCACACACGTTGGTGGGAAGAAACCTCACATGATGATGGTGCAGCTGGATGACATGACGGCTGGTGCAGTGACCAAGCTGGTCAAAGAAGAACCTACCAGTGCTTTAGACCTCACTGGGATCAAACCTGAGAGTCAAGTGGCTTGCTGTGATGTAGTCTACAAATTCCCCTTCAGCAGCAGCTGTACTGGGACTTTCCATCCCTCCTCTAAGATGCCCGAGAAAAATGTAGTGGACACAGCCCAGCCCAGCCAGAGCAGCCTTCCATTTTATGGGCCCCGGGAGCCAGACCTTCCTGAGCCGTCTCCATACAGGGAACAGGCCGCAGCGGGTCCCAGGCTCTACGAGGAGCAGAAACTGTATTCTCATGGCCTCGTGGGAAGGCTCTACTCGTCCATGTCTGACACCAACCTGGCCGAGGCCGGGCTGAGTTATTACCCACACAAAAGTGACCAATTCTTCCACTCCCCTGGGGGAGACTCAGCTATGGACCTCACAACCATGAAGCACTCCTACAGCATCGGCTTCGACGGCCGCTACCTGCCCCAGGGAATGCAGTACGGCTCCTTCACAGACCTGAGACAAGCCCCAGACCTTATGGGCCACCCACTCCCCATGAGAAGGTATAGCTCAGCATCGAACATCTACTCTGATTATCGATACTCGCCGCGAGGGGACCTGTCGGGCTTCCAGGAATCCAGCCTGGCTCAGTATAGCGCAACTACAGCCCGGGAGATCAGCCGCATGTGTGCTGCTCTCAACTCCATGGACCAGTACGGGGGACGGCACAGCAGCAGCCCGGAGCTCTTGCAGTATGGCCCCAGGCCTGGGCCTGGGCCTGGGCCTGGAGCCAGCGCCCAGCAGGGCCTGGCAGCCATCAAGGCCAACATGATGATGAACCCAAACTTCCCTGAAGGCCGGCAGAGCTTTGGGAAGCTGGCCCAGTACGGTCCTGCCGCCGGGCAGGGAGGAGGGGCCATCAGGCAGCTTTTCCCTTCCACAGCGACTGTGCGTGCAGCTGACGGGATGATTTATTCTACTATCAACACGCCAATTGCCTCAACTCTTCCCATCACCACCCAGCCAGCGTCGGTGCTTCGGCCCATGGTCCGAGGCATCTACAGACCCTATGGCCCGGGTAGCATTACCCCTGTGCCTCTTGCCAGCTTGACCCGAGTACCCGTGGTTGCCCCCCGGGTGCCCCTCATGCCGCAGGGGCTCTATCGATATCCAGCCCCAAGCAGATTCCCAGCCATCACAACAGCACCTGGGATTGACGGCCCCTTGTACCTGGGGAAGGCAGGCCCAGCCACCAGTGTGGCTGGGAGCAGTGTGACCCCTGGACCTGCTGGGAAGCCAGTGGTGGCAGCAGCCGCTGGAGGTCTACAGAGAACTGAGCAGCCACTGGGAAGCACTCGAGAAGAGCCCCCAGCAGCAGCCCCCCTGGGGTCCAAAGAGGCAGGCACAGCCCCGTCCCACCTGCCTGGCCAAAAGCAGCCTGGAGAAGCTCCTTCAGCGACCATCTTGGGCAAAGCAGGGGGTGCCGAGAAAGAAGAGAAGGAGGAGGAGAGGCAGAGGAAGCAGCAGGAGCACCTGCTGCAGATGGAACGCGAGCGCGTGGAGCTGGAGAAGCTGCGGCAGCTGCGGCTCCATGAGGAGCTGGAGCGGGAGCGCGTGGAGCTGCAGCGGCATCGGGAGAAGGAGCAGATGCTGGTGCAGAGGGAGATCCAGGAGCTGCAGACCATCAAGCACCAGGTCTTGCAGCAGCAGCAGGAGGAGCGCCAGGCCCAGTTCGCCTTGCAGAGGGAGCAGCTGGCCCAGCAGCGCCTGCAGCTGGAGCAGATCCAGCAGCTGCAGCAACAGCTGCAGCAGCAGCTGGAGGAGCAAAAGAGGCAGAAGGCTCCCTTCCCCCCGGTGTGCGACCCCTCTGGGAGATTGCCTCCCCAAGCCGTGACGGAGATCGCCCTAGAAATGCAGCGCACCATGGCCCCGAATGGCCAGTACTGGCCCCCAATGAATCAGGCTTTCATGGCCACTGCGGCCATGGGCATGGAGGGGACGGGGCAGCCGAGAGAGCCGGGGCCCCCGAGGCCCCTCCCCAGCTCGGCCTCGGACATGTCTCTGCAGACGGATGAGCGCTGGGAGGCCGGCAGGGGCCTCCAGAAGAGACACTCAATGCCCCGCCTCCGGGATGCCTATGAGATGGAGGAGGCCCACGAGCCTTACGTCGTCAAGAAGATCGCCGACAGCAGCGTGCAGACCGACGAGGAGGACGGGGAAGAGCGGTACTTTATGTCCCGGAGGCGCCGGACTCGGCGGAGCACGGACTGCAGCGTCCAGACGGACGACGAGGACAACGCTGAGTGGGAGCAGCCTGTCCGCCGGCGCCGCACCCGCTTCTCACGCCACTCAGATTCAGTTTCCGACGGCAAGCACGACTCCTCCTCCGCGGCCAGGGGCAAGTCGAGTGTTGGCATCCAAACCATCAGTGACTGCTCAGTACAGACAGAGCCCGATCAGCTGCTGAGGGTCTCGCCTTCCATTCATATCACCACCCCGGACCCCAAAGTGGAGATTATCAAATACATTTCGGCCCCAGAGAAGACTCAGAAGGGAGAGAGCCTAGCATGCCAGACAGAGCCGGAAGCACAGGCCCAGGGAATTGTGGTGCCTCAGCTCCCAGGGCCGGCAGCCATCACCCCCTACACCCCCAGCATTCAGATTGTCACCACTGGACCCTTGGAGCCCAGGCAGCAGGGGCTTGGGAAATTTGAGAAGAAGAAACCGGATCCCTTAGAAATTGGTTACCAGTCTCATTTGCCCACTGAGTCTCTCTCCCAGCTAGTAACCCGTCAGCCCCCCAAGTCTCCTCAGGTTCTCTACTCACCTGTCTCTCCCTTGTCCCCACACCGGCTCCTGGAATCCTCCTTTGCTTCCAGTGAGAGATTGAACAAGGCCCACGTAACACCACAGAAGCATTTCACTGCCGACAGCGCCCAGCGCCAACAGACTGTGCCTCGCCCCATGAAAACCATGCAGAGGTCCCTGTCGGACCCCAAGCCCATCAGCCCCACTGCCGAAGAGTCAGCCAAAGAGAGGTTCTCCCTCTATCAGCAACAAGTCCTCCAGGGCAGTCAGGTAAGATGGGGATGAGTAGAGAGGAAATCCTATCTACCCAAAGAATGCTTTGGGGCCAAGAGAAGTTGAGGGGGAGGAGGGCATACTACCACTCTGGAAAACAGCACTTTGTCCTGGCCCTTTAACAAAAATAGGAGGAGCCAGTGATGTTTTCCTTGGGTGAGGGACAAAGTGGTGTAGTAGCAGCTCAGGAGAGGTATGGGGTCCTGGTTCTCATGTCCCACCACCTTTACTCTACCTCACCAGGAAGACTTGAGGTCCTACATGAAAGAAAGACTTGTTTATAGGAGTAAACTTCCGAACAGAGAGGTACAAAATGGTTCCTAATCTGTGCTCCTGGAGACTGGTAACCTATATAGGAGTACAAACCCATACATACTTGCAGATGAATAAATATGGCACCATTTTGTCAGACAGAAACAATACTGCTTTGTATGGCTTAATGAGAAAAATGCTAGACTTAAAGTTAACGGACTTGGCTTCAGTTTCCATCTGTGACACTCCCCAACCAAATGACTCCAGGGTCATTTTCCCTTTCTGAACCTCAGTTTTCTCATCTCTACAATGAGGATGATAATACATGCACCACCTGCCTCATGGGATTGTTATGGGGAAAGTGCTTTGGAAACCTTAAAGAGATATATACATGTCAGTTATTATTATTATTAAAGTGATTATAATAACTATTATTTATAAGGCATTGTTACTTCCTTGCTTAAAATTCTTCAGTAGCTCCCTATTTCCCACCAAATAAAGTCTAGTTCCTTAAACACTAACATTCAAGGTCAACTATAGTCTGGTGCCAACCTGAGCTCTTACTGTTCCCCGTCTGTGAACTCTAGATTGTAGACTATATACTTATAGGATGAAAGAGGATCACATATTTAGAGCTAGAATGGACCTTAGAGGAGATAATCTCCACCAGATGAGGAAACTGAGGTCAATATAGATTAAGTGACTCATCCAAGGCCACCTAGGTAGTATGTTGTAAAGCCAGGATTCAGATCTTTGTCCTCTGATGCCAAATTCAGCCCTTGTTTAAGGACATCATGGTACCTTTCCTGCTGACCTAGCTTAGTCATTGCTTCCCAAAACATACTCTATGCTTTCTTGCCTCTCTACCTTTACTCAGTCAGTTGAAATCCTACTCATCCTCGAAGACCAAGATCAAATGCTACTTCCATCTTGATTCTCCAGTTCATTAAATATTTCTTGGAGTGGCTGCCATCTGCATGACCCTGTGGTTTGCATTGAGGGTACAAAGATTAAAAAAACAATAGTCCCCATTCTCAAGATATATACAATATAAAGGGGGAGGAAGGAAGACTGAGAAATATATATGTATATATTTAACGTGTGTGTAACATTAAGTAGAACATTATATGGGATGAGCAAGTGAGGTGAGAGAGCAGCGTGCTTGATGACAATTTAAAGAGTATGGGATCAGTGCAGCTGAGGGGACTGGGAAGGCTTCATGGAAGAGGTGATATCTGGGCTGGACCTCCAAAGAAGAGAAAGGTCTCAGGAAAGATGGAGAAGACGCATTTTCCAAGTGTGGAGGATAAATAACCTACCCAAATGCACGGACGCAGAAGATGGAAGGATATCAAGAGACAGCTAGTGCCCCTGTTTGTCTAAAATATTGAGCATGTGAAGGGGCTGGAAAGGTAGGCTAGAGCTAGCCGGTAGAGGGTCAAAAATGCCAAGACGTTGGTATCTTGCCACATATGCCATCCAAAGCAACTGTAGGCTTTTATCTGGGGAATAACCTGGCCAGATCATATGAAAGATAGTTTGGAGAGAAGAGAGACTCAAAGTAGGGAAACCAGTTAAGAGACTGTTATAATAGTCCAGGTAAGAGGCGATGAGAACCTGAACTAGGGTGACGATAGCACGAATGGAGAAGAGTCTTGCACAAATGCAAGAGAGATTGCAAAGCAGAATTCACAGGGCTTAGCAGCTGTTTGGATGTAGAAAGGTACAGAAAAGGGAAAGTCAAAGTTAACGCCAAGGTTTCAAGCCTGAGGAGGTAGAAGGTTAATTAATTCTGCCATCAACACAAAGAGGGAAGTCTGGAGGAAAGCCAGGTAAAGATGACAAGCTCTGCTTGGACCATGTTGAGTTGGAACTGTTGGGAAAACAGTAGGTAGAGATGGCCAGCAGGCAGCTGAAAATGACTGCAGCATTAGAATGACTAATTTTGGTCCTAAAGAAGAGATAGGAGAAGCATCTCCCCCACCTCCACTCCTTTGTAGAAATGAGGGACCATGAGTGTGTGATATACCTCATATAACATCAGACTTTTTTGATATATAGTTTAGTTTTATGAAACTTTTCTTCTTCCTTTCTTCATACTTCCTCCCTTCATGAGAGATGATTCTCTCAGATAACAAGAGAGGGAAATATAGGTGATATAAAACCCAAAGATCCCAATACTATTTTATGTTTAAAATAAGTAGAGCTGAGGTGCAAAGAAGAAGTCTGACCTGTAAATAGAGATTTGGAAGTCATGTGCATAGAGGTGATAATCAAAGCTGTGGGTGCTGATTAATTCATCAAGGGAGATGGTAGGGAGAGGTGTGCCAAAGATAGTCACACCGTGGGGAGAGAAGGAAGAAGATGGACCAAGCCAAGGAAGGAAACTATGGAGGGGTCAGCCAAGTAGGAGAATCAAGAGAAAATAGTGTAGCAGAAGCCCAGGGAGGAGAGGATAGCAAGAAGAGATTGGGCTGTAGTATCAAATGCTACAAAAGGTCAAAGTGCATGAGGCCTGAAAAAAAAGTCCATTGGATTGGTGTGGGTTTTTTTTTATTTTATCTTCTTTTCATTTATGCCTCTTATTTTTATGTCATTTTCATTTCTCAATATTTATTTTCCTCCTCTCCTATGCAGTAAGCCATCCCTTGTAACAAAGATTAAAAAGAAGGAGGAAGAAGAAAGCAATTCAGAAAAATCAACCAACATGTCAATGGTATATGAACAGTCTAGGCAATGTAATAATAGCTAGCATTTAAATAGTGCTTTAAGGTTTGCAAAGCACTTTACAAATATTATCACACACACACACACACAAAGAACCCTGGGAAGTAGATGTTATTGTTATTCCTATTTTACAGAGGGAGATGAAGTGACTTGCCCAGGGTCACACAGCTAGTAAGTGTCTTAGGTAGGACTTGAACTCAGGTCTAATCTTGATTCTAGACCCAGTGCTCTGTCCACTGCACCACCCAGCTGCCTCTGACATTTCATAGCCATAGACACCCAGCCTCTGCTGGGAGGAAAATACACTTCCTCCTCTCTCTTCTGCCCATTATGTCCTTATAATTCCACAGCCTTGACATTCTTTTATCCCTATCTCAGTACTTTCTGATTGATTGGATTTGGAAATTCAGGAGTCTTTTGTTACCTTAGAAGGAGAGGCCTCAGCAGAGTGGTTAGGAAGCCAGATTACAAGTGGCTGAGCAGATGCTGGGGAAGTAGAGGGAGGAGGTGTTGGTGATTCTTTCTTGAGGTTTCACAGGAAGAGAGATAGAGGATGATTGTCTGATAGAATTGGCAGAGCCAAAGGAAGGGTTTTTGGTCATTGTCACTGTTGTTGTTTAGAACTGGGAGGACCTAAGCAGATTTTTAGGCAGGAGGGAAGAATTTAGTAGAAAAGAGGAGACTAAAGATGAATGAGAGAGGCAATGTTAGCACAAGCAAAAGGTCCCACAAGAGACAGAAGGAGCTGGGATCAAGCCCATCAAAAGTTTAGAACTGGGACTTGACCCCAGGGCTACTACTACTAAGAAATGCTAATACTATTAATTAATATAATTAGTTTGGCCTGCACCTGTGATTTAATTGTTGCATTAATCTAATTCCTGGTATAGAAATTCCTTTTCTTTAACCATCCACTTAGTAATATATAAATTTAAGAAGGATCTCTGATTTTTGTCAGCCTGGGCAGCTCCTAGTGTGGGAACAACTTTCTACTGACCCAGGTCATATCCTTCTCTGACTTAGTAGAGAAACCTTAAGGAGTCACTTGAGGCACGGAGAGGTCTGGCAGTTTGCCCACGGGCACACAGCTAGTAAGCATCAGAGATACGTTATCCAGGTCTTCTAAGTTCTAGCCTAGTACTGCATCCACTATACCGAAGGTTTTTAATCTGGATTCTATAGACCCCTTTATATATTTCAGGGGGTCCGTGAATTTGGATGGAAAAGAAAGCACATCCTTATTTTCACTAAACTCTATCTGGAACTTAGCATTTCCTTGAATTATTTAAAAACATGATTCTGAGAAGTGGCACGAAACAGGTTAAGAACCCCTGCCCTATACCATTCTGCCTCTAATAATATATTCCCTTTAGAAATAGGTTTTGAAACTTAGCCAGGAGTTGAAGTCAAGCTCATTTGCAGATACCACCCTTTTCCCTTTTTGCAAAATTAAGATATTTCCCCTTCTTCAAATCAAATGAGATAATATTTGTTAAAAGGGCTTAGCACCATGCTTGGCACATAACAAGTGCTATGTTAATGCTTATTCCCTTCTCTTCTCCAATTCTATAGTGCTTCTCTCATTCTCTACAATCCTCCAAAGACCATTGGCCTCAGCTCAGCAGTCACATCTGCTGCTTCTTTCAGTACCCTGAGCCCTGTGAACTTGAATTTTTTGGGATTAACTAAGTACCCTGTTACTATCTCCTTATTTCTCTTGGGTTTCAATTTCCCATTAACCATTTCTTGTTTTGTCATTGCCAACCCAAAGATCATTCCCCTCGGGAGATAAAACAGAAACAGTACGAGTTCTACCTTTTCTCCATCACTTGTTATCCTCTCATCTCCCCTAGCAGTGACCCTATCCTTTTCTTTGATCCTCCTACTGTTCTGGAAGGAAGGAAGGAAAAAAGAAAGAAAGGAAAGAAGGGAGGAAGGAAGGAAGAAAAGAGGAAGGAAGGAAGAAGGGAAGAAGAAAGAAAGAAAGAAAGAAAGAAAGAAAGAAAGAAAGAAAGAAAG